TTGTCTCAAGGTCTTGGGTGTGTGAGCAAGGTGAGAAAGGAAGAATCGGTTATGCCACCAAGATTTTGTGCGTGAGTGACCAACAAGGTGGAGATTAACGCAATTTACTGAAGCCTCAGGACTATAGAAAGCATTTTTTGGGGAAGGTGTCTTTTGGATTTAAGTTTGAAACCCATGTTGAGAAGTCAGTCATTTGTATATACGGGTCTTTTTTTTTCCAGAGAAGCGGCTTCAGAGCAAGATATAACTGTGGGTAACATCAGTATAAAAAATGGACGAGATAATTTAAGACAGTATAGAGAAGTCACAGAACTCAAGAGCTAACCTTGAGGAGCTCCATTATTCGGATCTTGGAGAAAGAAGGAGATTGATAAACAGTTTGCAGGAGGAAAACCAAGAGCATGTTGTGCTGGGAGCCAGTGAAGAAACTTTCTAGGAAGAAAGAGTGCCAAATTCTTCTTATGATGATGGATAAGATGAAGACAGCATTTGCTCTTCAGGCTTGGCCACATGGAAGCCTTTGCATACTTTTTAAAAGCAGTTTCAGTGGAGTTGTGGGCAGGTACTGATTAGAATGGCCAGGTGAGTGAGTGGAAGTTTGAAGGGAAGGGAGATAATGAGTGTAGATGTTGAGAACCATTGTATGTCCATGAAGGTAGTGGGGCCCTGGAAGGGAACATGGGGCTAAGAAAAGTACTGGAGTTTGATGTGACTTTTTTTTTTTTTTTTTTTAAATAGGATAAGATGTTTAGTTGAACCATAAGAAATTGGTGACATTTGCCTACTTTTGACTTAGGAGAATGTCATTTTCTTATAGTTTGACCTAATAAAACATGTTGTATTATTGAGAATGATTTGCTTTTAGAAGTGGAGTTTGATGAAGCAGTGTTGAGAGTTTAACTGTAAGAATACAGTGTTTGAGTAGTTGAGAGAGATGGGGCTGGAGCTCACCAGCAGTGTTGGCCTTTTAAGTGGGCAGAGGGGCGGGCACCTATTTTTTCATTGTAACAGGAAGGAAGAAGACAATGTGCAGATTCAGTCATGCTTCAGTGATCACAGTGATGCCAATCCCAGCAGCTAGTGTCTTAACTGGGGCAAATAATTACATATGTTTTCACATTAGCTGTAGCACACACATAGATTGATTTTGTTCGGAGAGCTGAGTGGGTACTGATCCTATTTTGCCTTGTAGTGGGCTCTGAATTTGCTCTCTCAAAAGTCTTTGATATCAGTGATTTTTTGCCCAGTTTTTCTCTTTCACCAAAAGCAGAAAAAAATGAAATACTATGACCTCCCTCCCCACTCCTCAGAAACACCATGGCCTCCCTGTAGAACTGATTAGCAAATCAAAAAATAAAGTGGTTTTCTCATAAGTGATTTTCTTGTCCTACAGAAAATTGTCTTTTTCAATATTCCCCTCAGAATTCTCTGACTTGTCATTGTATGAAACATTATCTATGATTTCTGTTACTGTAATGCAGACTATGAGCACATCGTTTAAGGTCGTACCACTCTTCTCTGTCTTGTAAAGAATTTGCTTATGAGGTGTGTGTTTCAAAAATTTCAGCTATTTAGAGGGAGACTTTATTCCACTGCATAATATAGTTTGAAAAATAATTTCCATTAAACCATTATGCTGACACATATCCCTAGACTACGATTTTCTCCATGAACTTCATTCAGTAAAGACTTCCAGGTACTGATCATTAATTGTTTCTTTAAAGCAACAATGAGATTGAAATCATCTTTAGTGCCTACAGGATTCTTTTTCATGAAACATCCTGTAATGTTTATTTTGAATAATACTCTCCTCCATGGGTTATGGGACCAGGAAGGAGCCCTCTTCTTTCTCAGTGTTTGCTTGTTGAGCTATATAGGAAGCTTTGCTGTGTGCATGGCTCCAAATTTTTCTTTTCCTGAAAGTACAGGAAGATCTGGAGAAAGTCAGCACCCATGTATTAATTTATACACTATTAAGTGTCTGATGAGACATGTGGCACCTTTCAAAGCTCTCAGATGGTGGTGGGTTTTTTTAAAGCTTTTCCAGAACATTTTTAAATTTTAATTGGAATCAGTGTCTTTTTCCCTTAACATTTTATAAAATTTATTTTTAATTATAGTTGATATATAATGTTATATTAGTTTCAGGTGTATAACATAATGATACTACATTCATAAACCTTAAAAGGGGTCACCACATATCTAGTGACTATCTGTCACCATGCATAGTTGTAATATTGGGTGGTATTTTAGACTAAACTAATGTATATTTTATTTATTATTTTAAGTCCTCATTTGAGGATGTTTTTCCATTTATTTTCAGACAGAGTGGGAGGCAGGGAGAGAGAGGAACATCTGTGTGAGAGAGACACATTGATTGGTTGCCTCTCGCCAGGAGCCCGACCAGGGCTGGGGACCGAACCACAACTGAAGTACATACCCTTGACCAGAACTGAACCTGCAGCCCCTTGCTCCGCGAGTCGATGCTCTTAACTGCTGAGCCAAACTGGCCAGGGTGCTAAGGTTTATTTTATGGAGGTGTGTAACTTTACTACAGGCAGAACAAGTCAACGTGTTCTAATTCTGCTTGCAATCAGAGGAAGTTGATGTACAGTTGTTACCTGCTGTGGTAGAAATTGCAAGCGTCACTGAAGTAGATTTGCATCTTCAGCATTGAAAATATTCAACAGAATTCATCAGGAGTGATTTCAAAAAGTGGCAGTCTGTGGTGTTGTGATAAATGAATAAAGAAAAAAATTTTCCCTTATTTTAGACAGCCTTTGATGGCATGTCTGTTTACGAAAATAGGTACAGATTAGTCAGCTGTGTACCTGACTCTCAGATATTTTTAGCTTCTTTGGGTGAACTTTGGGTTATGCCAAGGGTCCCCTTTGGTCTTTCCACTGAGAACCACTCAACCAACATGGATGTGTGCTTATAAAAAAGGGTTTGTAGTGTATATATAATACTGCTGAACAGCTTTGCTGACCTGGAATCTACATGGTTCAACTAGCTTTTCTTTGACTCCTGAACTAGTGTTGTACTGATTCATCAAGTTTCCTTTGCTTTGCCATTTCTAGCCGTGAACTCATCTATATTCTCTGTCTTACTTTTCACTAGGGGAAATGGGGCTTGTCTTGCAGGATGAGTTCTGTGCTAAAACGTTGCACTTCCTCCTGCTTCTGTATACGCTGATGAGTTCCACTTTGTGGAGACGTGGCACCTCACCTAAAAGTGACAGTTACCTTAAAGGACTGTGGTTTTGGTGTATGGGGGTTTATTTCTGTCTTTATCAAGTAGAGAGGCCTATGAGACCATCTTTGGCGTCTGAGCAGGTACACAGCTATCTTGTGCTCCTTGTCTCTGGAAGGTCAGGGCTTTGGGTATTCATCTCCATTGTCCTCTCTCCCACCACCACCCAAGATCATTTGCTTCTAATTTTGGCTACTTTTTCTTTTCTTACTCCAAATGTTTTCCCTTGTCCCTTCAGACTTCTGTCAACCTTTCACAGTTTGCTGAAATGGCTTTCTTTTGGTAGATTGCAGTCTGTTGACTTCTGCTGTCCTCTTATTGAACTGGCCATTAACCTGGGAGTAAAATCCTTGTTTCTCTCAGCCTCCCCATTACAAAATCAACAACTGTTCCTAACAGATAAAAGAAGAATATAAATACTCATGACCAGTTTTTGCCATCTTGGTTATGGCCTTCCAAATGTATTATTTTTCAAAAGGGGGTCATCATGTCATATGTACTATTTTATTCATATGTACTATTTTAAAACTGCTTTTTCTTCACTGTATCTCCTGAAAGTACCTTCTCATACGTTTTTATTTTGAAATATATATATTTCTAAATTTTCAGTCCCTGAAACTGTTCTGTAATATTAGGATGTACCATTTGACCAGTCCTTTATTTTTTGGACATGTAGGTATTTTGTCTTCTTTTGTCCTTCTTCCTTTCTGTCTTTCTGCTATTTACTGGTGATAGAATTTTTGTTCGTGGGTATCTAGAGTTGTTTGTTCACTATCCATATAGTTATTTTATTAAACCTTAATGTGGACTTTTGGGAGCATAGGGTAGGCTCTTTCTAGTTACAATGTCACCTTGTGTATGTGTTCAGAAAGGGACTCATATCTTATGCATACCTGTCTTCCCAGCATGTAGCATTACACCTGGCATAATGGGTATTCACTAAAGAATTAGAGTTGCTTTCCAGAAATATGATGGCTGTTTGGCAAATTTATAACTATCTACTCTGTATTTGGAACCCTGGGTATAGGAGTGAATAAGACAATGATTGTCCTTGTTCTCATAAGCTGAGCTGATGCTCTGTATAGCAAGGGTTATGTTACAGAGACGGCAAGCCTCTTAATGTGAGGATCAATTAAAAACCTAAAAGTCATACAATATAGTAGAAGCAACCTAAATTACTTAATAGTGTGGTTACTGAGGGATGTTCATACCAGTTTTTTTCAAGCATATGGCTAATTAACAATTGACTAATTGATTTTTCTGTAGATCATAGTTTTTATTTAGGATTGTCCACTATGTTACTGATTGAGGTGAAATGATCAGTTTCAGGTTCAAAGGTCATATTTTGATCTTTGGAAATAACTAGAATCAGTTATACTTAAATTTAAAATTTTATACCTGAATATAATATGTGGTTGTCCTTAGGGATTTTAGAGACCCAAAGATATTTAATTTAAGGCTAGTTTTGGGGTAGTAGGAAATATATCCTAAAATATTTTTGTTCCTTCTGTTGCTTATTTTAAAATATGATTAAACAAAGATTACAGCCATGGAGAAGATTTTCTGCTGTAAATTGGTGTTTCAACCCTTCCAGCTGTTCAGGCTTTCTGTGATCCCACTTATAAAAGTGGAAAGTGAAGGGTGAGTGGCTGCCCTCATGTGCAGGCACATAATTTAAAAAAAATATGTATGTCTCAGCAGAGCTATATTAGAGTTTCATATAGCTGCCTTTTTCTTTTTTATTCTAGGGCCAGCTCTCAATGTTGCAAGAAAAAATAGACCATTTGGAGCGTTTGCTAGCTGAGAATAATGAGATCATCTCAAATATTAGAGATTCGGTCATCAATTTGAGTGAGTCTGTGGAGGATGGGCCAAAAGGTTCACAAGGCAATTTTAGCCAAGGTGTTGGCTCACCTCTTCTGCCATCGAAACAATTGTCCCTCACAGTCGACCCTGAAGACTGTCTGTTTGCTTCACAAACTGGAAGTCAGAATTCAGATGTGCAGGTAATGTATACATTTGTTAATAATCACTGGGCTTTTTTGTTGTTGTTTTTTTAATTTGATCTGGTATCTGTTCTTGCTAAGTTATTTAAACTCTCTGAGTTCTAGTTTTTTGTGTGATTTGATTAATCACAAGATCATTAATATTCTTTTTTGTGATAAGATTCCATAATTCCGTGTTTCTCCTAAATTTTCTTATTTTATAATTTGTGAATATGGCTGTTTTATATGCTTCCTTGGTCTTATTTTCTGTAATAAAGACCATTAGAAGTTTAAATTTGGCCAAAGGGATTTTCTTACCTTCCTTTGGAGGGAACAAGAAAAGCCCTCTTCTTACTGTAGCCCTCTTCTTAATGTACTACTACTGTACATTATAGATTTAGCACAGTGTAGGGTTAGATTCTTTTTGCTCAATATGCCTTTTGGAGAAGGAAGGGAAATATTCTAGAGCCGTGCTGCCCATTATGGCAGCCACTGTCCACATGTGGCTACTGAGCACTTGAAATGTGGCTAGTTTGAATTGAAAAGTGCTCTAAGTATAATACTCAGAAAGTGTTCAAGATTTAGTGGGAAAATAATAATCTAAAAAAGCTTGTTCATTTTTATATTGATTATACATTGAGAAGGTAATATTTTGAATATGTTGGCCTAAATAAAATATATCATTAAACTTAATTTTAACTGTTCCATTTTACTATAAAATTTAAAATTGCATATTTGGCTTGCATTATATTTCTCTTGGATCATGCTGTTCTAGAGGACAGCAGAGTTGAAGACTAGGGTAAGAAAGAACTGCCTTCCTTAAACTTTGGGTGTGTCACTTATATTTTTCAGTTTGGCAAATCAGTTGTGTTTAACCTTATACCTTAGACCAGAAATTGGAACTTGGTGATAGGACCCTAAGGGGTGAATATTTTAAAGCGTGATAAAATGAGTTGGCTACATTCTGGCCTCAGAGTAGAAATTTTCACTAACTCTTGGGAAAGAGAATATGGTATGACCTCGAGGACATGGATCATAGGCCAAGCTGGAAATGGAACAGCAGAGCTGGCCAAGCCTTATGGCTGCAACCTCATCAGCTAGTGTGTGGCCAGGTTCAGATAGGATTGGGATCCTGTCCTGTGCTTTGAAGGAATATCTATTTCTGTGAGGCTTTGCTTTGTTCAGGTTTTAATTCAATACCTTTTAAAGAAAAACAAAAAAAGTTTTTTGGTAGGGGTGGGTCTAAATCTGGATTGGACAGAAAGGAGGCACTGAGCAACCAGGCAGTAGGAGGCAGCTCAGACAAAATAAGGTGATGAACAAAATAGACCCAGAGACATAGAAGTGGGGTTTAGACTGATACATTTTAGAGGAGAGGGGTGGGGGGGGGGGAAGAGATAAACCAAAGAACTTATGCATATAAGCATAACCAATTGACATACCAACAATGCTGGATGCCTGGGTGGGGGGAGGGAGGGTGTCAGTGGAGGAAAAAGGAGAAACATCTGCAACAAAAATAAATTAATTAAATTAATAAAAGAAAGAAAGAAAGAAAGAACTGGAAAGAAAAGCAGAGATTCCTAACATCTTCCTGTCTAGTTGGTTCCCAAAGCTGTGTTGACTTTTCCCTGAAACGTATTTTATTTATTAAAGTCATAAATTCTGAAGAGAGAAATTTGTTATTGCCTTAAAAACTTTGTATTCATTTTTATGTAATTTGCTTGATATCTTTAAAAATTATATTTGTAACCAATTTATATATGAATTAGGATGTAACTTTTACATAATTGAAATTTAACCAAAGGATGGTTGTGTTCTCTGTCACATTTAGTATTAGAGAGAATATGCAGAATAAAAGTTTGTAGGTTTTTTTTTGGGGAGGGGGCAATATTTTTTTCCTTATGTTCAAAATGGATTATTATCTAGAAGGACTACTGCACTGGAAACTTAGAAAACATTTGAACACTTAAAAGCTAAATCTCAATTTAAAAAATTTTTTCATTTTTAACCTAAACTATAACCTTGTTATAGTTTTATTTTTAGGAAAAAAAAAGGTAAACATAACATGCTAAGTGAAAGAATAGCAATAGATACATTTTCATTAATGTACAGATTTTTAAAATATATGAGATTGCGTATAAAATAAAGACAACTCAAAGAGAAAAATAATTTTCAGTAAATAATTGTTTTTGAATCTGGTCATAATCAAATTTTTTTGGTTTGCTATTTAGTTCTTATTACTATTAAATTTTATTAGAAGTAAAGCAGAGGAAGAGGAATTAAATGAAATTATTATCTTTTTATTAGAAGCAGATGAGGGGGAGGGGATTACTTATCAGGTTAGTGATGTAACAAAGCATTTTAAGCATTTGAATGGTGATTAAATGTCTTCTACCTTAAATTCTTCGTCTAACAGAAATAGTTTTATATTGTAAAATATATATTTAGAGTACAACAATAAGTAGTTTTGAGCAAATATTTTTCAACATTAAGTTTAAATTAATAATGGTTATACATAATTAAACTTTTATTTTTTTGTCTTTTGTATTTTTAGATGTTGGATGTTTACAGTCTAATTCCTTTTGACAATCCAGATGGTGGAGTTTGGAAGCAAGGCTTTGACATTACCTATAACATTAATGACTGGGACACTAAGCCCCTTCAAGTCTTTGTGGTGCCTCATTCTCATAATGACCCAGGTAAAATTGGCACTTCAAATAAAACTGGAGGATATTAAGCCACCTGTAGGCAAGACTCTTTTAATGAGAATCTGGTGGCACCTACTTCTCAAGTTTTTGAGAAATATTCCCTGACTTTAAACAATATCATACTCCTTTTATATGTCGTTGTATTTTAAGTTCTTATTTTATTAATTTATGTGCCATTTAAAGGTAATAGTTCTGTAGTATGAAATGGTAATAACACAAGAAGGTTTTAGCCCTGGGGCACAAAAGTTGCACAAATTTAAGGTGCTGATCATTCATTTTAGTTACTTAGTGTAACATACTACGTGTCCATAAACTCTGCATTTAAAAAGTCATAATGCTCATGGGAAAATTTGAGACTTTATGTATGTATGTATGTATGTATGTTTTGGTTAATCCTCACCTGAGGATATTTTTCCATTGATTTAGATAGCGTGGGAGGGAGGGAGAGAGAGGGAGAGGGAGAGAAACATTGATGTGAGAGAGACACATCGATTGGTTGCCTCCCCCACAACCCTTACGGGGGTTGGAGTTAAACCTGCAACCCAGGCATATACCCTTGACTGGGAATCAAACTTGTGACCCTTTGGTCCTGATGCCCTAACCATTGAGCCAAACTAGCCAGGGCAAAAGTTTGAGACTTTAAAATGGAGAAGTAATACAAATGATTAAGAGACAAACATGGGTGAGTCCCAACCCCATCAGTCTATAGTGTTAGGCAACTTTAGGAAAAGTTACTTAATCTGAGAGTAACTTTTATTTTCCAGGTAGAATCAGGATAAAGTATTTCATAGGGTGAAATGTAAAGGCATGGTACATAGCCCTAAAGTTAACTGCTATTGTTATTATTATTGTAATTGTTATGTCATACGCTGATTTTTGTTATTTTATTGGGGCCAGTAATTTTTTCCCCCAAGGTAAGTGGAAATTGCTAAAATTATCATGGGAAATATGATTTGATGTGTTCACTTGTTAGTGTGAATACACAGGCACAAATTAAATGCCCAATTAATGTAGTTGCAGGGTTTTTTGGAAGGACTTACTAATACTTATATTTTTTCTTTATCCCAGTTTCTCAGTTTCATTACTATCAGAGAAAGCACTTTTCACTTAGTATTTTGAAGGTTTTTTTCTTTACTCCCAGCATTTATCTCCTACTTGTATTCTTTCCCTTCAGTTTATCATCATGTATTCATTTCCTTCCTTCCTAAGACAACAGATCTAACAAGTTAGTGTCTGGACACATGATTTGGTGAAGTGTGTTTACACACACGTGCGTGTGTGTGTGTGTGTGCATGCAGGCTTCTTGGTTGTGAGAGGTAGTCAGGGAGATAGAGCTTGGATGCTGAAATGTTTGAATTTCCAGAATACTTGATTTTTAGTAAGCACTGAGGTATGAAATGTATGAAATCAATATTGCTTTTTTGGAAAGTTTTGATGAGCATTACCATGCATCAGCTTCTGAGTTGGTCTCTCTGCTTTTGGTCTTAATGTCTTTATCTTTTTCTACAAATACCTATTAGTTTTATTAACTTTTTTTCTTACATGTTTTGCAGCATCTTCCTCCTTGGGGGTTGCTGTTTATCTGAAGAAGGCTAGGCCTGGGAGGTGGGGGGTGTGAGGGGAGAGAGGGAATTTCTAGAATTGGATTTAAAACTAAATTTAACCAAAGTCATAAGGATGCTTCGTTTCAGAATGAAAAACACAATTTTTTTTTTTTTTTTTGTATATCAGACTGATGCAGTGAGGTGAGGTGCTTCAACTTCACATGTGGGATCTGAGACTGCCTGTAGGACTATAGATATTTTTTCTGTAAACTTTGTTCACTGAAATATTCTCATGGTGAGTGCAGTAGCAGCAGAGCCACTTGTAGTAAATGAATTGTTCTCTTCTCTTTTCTCTGCTGATCATGTATAGTTTAATTCTTGTCACTTATTTGAGTCTGTGATGTGATTCCATCGTATACTATTTTTTATAGGTTTATAAATACAGTTTGCAGTGTGCCTTGCAAGTCCTCATGTGAACCCATCTCTCTTCCCTTTTTGATTTTTTAAGGACCTTTATTATTCCGTCCCCCTTTCTGCTATCCTCAGTTTCCAAAAACCTCATTTCTTGTTATAGTTATACAGCATGAGCATTTAACAGTAATAATAAAATTAGTAGTTTGCTAGGCCCTGTGCCCAATGTTTTATAAACATCTACTGCCCCCAACAACCCTTGAAGGTTAGTGCCACTGTTTACGATGATGGTCTTATGAACCTGCCAAGCTTACACAGGTAGTGGGACCAGAATATTTTCTTGTTAGTTTACCAGGATCTCCCACCTGAGTAAACTAGAAAGGCCAAGAATGTGTCTTCTGTCATAGTCTATCCTCATTGCCTAGCCTTACATTTGGCGTACAGTAATTACTACATATATGTAAGGCCTTCTCTGACCTAGCTCCATGCCCCTTGATGGCTTTCTCACACTGCACACACATGCACACACGCACACGCGTATGTTTCTACAAAGGCACACGTAAATATTTATAACAGTTTTGCTGGATCTCCTCACTAGAATGTAAGCTCAATGAGGACTCAGACTTTGGCTTGTTAACCCTGGGATCGCTAGTGCCTGGAATAGTACCCAGCACATAGTACAGATTCATTCAGTTACATAACATAATGAACGAAGGAATCTGACTCTGCAGGTTCAGATGAAATATTTGACCTTGGCTCCTGATTTTAACTCCCCTCCTTTCCTTCTTCCCATTGTCTACTTCATTTCTATTCCTTTAAAAATACATCTTATTTAGAATGAACTTTGTAATTTTAATTACCAAAAACAGATGATATCAACCTTGTCAAGGGCAGGGTTTGCCTCTGCCTTTTAGACTGTTTGTTCATTTCACAGTGTAGTTAGTATGTTGTTCACACTACAGTTAGTATGTTGTTCTGTGAGAAGACATCCCTAGTAACTGTTCCTGACTGCAATAAAAGGATATGTCTGTTGCCCTGGCCGGTTTGGCTCAGCGGTTAGAGCATCGGCCTGCGGACCAGAGAGTCCTGGGTTCAGTTCCCGCTAAGGGCATGTACCTAGGTTGCAGTTTGTCCCCAGCCCTGGTTGGGGTCGTGTGGGTGGCAACCACTCGATGTGTCTCTCTCACATCGATGTTTCTCTCTCTTTTCCTCTCTCTCCCCCTCCTGCTCTATCTGAAGATAAATGCAAAAAAAAAAGGATATGTCTGTTGGTACCCTAGTAACCACAATTGAATCTTTTTGTCTTAGTAAAAGATGTTTATGACACTTACCCTCTACTTGAGGGAAAAATAATGGTCAGAAACAGACCTTGAAACCTATTATAATATTATTAATCAATGTCACCCCAATAAATTTGATAAAACTTATAATAAAATACCTCTTTAACAACACAAATAATTAAAGTGATTTTTGCTATCAAGCAAAATTCTAGAGAAAAGAACTGCTGACTTTTCTTAATAATTTTCACCACTTTTTTTTCATTTTTTAATGATTTTTAATATTGAAATTCAATTATATAAAGTCATAAATTTAAAAACACATTTTTCCCTTAAGTACACCAAAAAAATCTCATTCTTTTCATAAATTTACTAAATTTTGAAAATCATTTTCCAGAGGGCTTTAAACTTAGATAAGTTCCTTTAAACATTTTAAATAAAATTTATAAGTATAATCAACTTATTTTCTTAGGTATTTTAATTGTCTACCTAATAAACCTTTCCTAAATACTTCAATAATTCTTATAAATCTCACCGATTAAACTTATAGTAATTGTCATTCCTCTTAGCATATGAACATTATTTACATTAGTAGCAATGCCTATACCTTTCTATTTATTTATTTTTATTTTATTTTTCCCATTCACAGCTCATATACATTTTTAAAATTTACATTCTAAAATTTTATTAATTTATTTTTGTTACAGATGTTTCTCCTTTTTTCCCCATTGACATACTCCTCCCCATCTCCCCACCCATTCTCCAGCTTTATTGTCCAAGTCCATTGGTTATGCGTATATGCATCTATGTTCTGTGGTTTATCTCTTCCTCCCTGCCCCAACCCCTCTTCTGAGGGTTGTCAGGCTGTACCCTACTTCCACGTCTGTTCATTATATTCCATAAATAAGTGATCATATGATATTTGCCTTCTCTGCTTGGCTTGTTTTGCTTAGGATAATACTTTCCAGGTCTCTCCATGTCATCTCAAAGGATAAGAGATCTTTCATTTATTGAAGAGACTGTCTTGACTCCACTGTATGCTCTTGTCACCTTTGTCAAATATTAATTGAGCATATTGTCATGGGTCAGTTTCTGGGTTCTCTTTCTGTTCCTTTGATCTATTTGCCTGTCTTATGCCAGTACCAGGCTGTTTTGATTACAATCGCTTTGTAGTATAACCTGATATCTGGTATTGTAATCCCACCTACTTTGTCCTTCTTTTTCAAGATTGCTGTGGCTATTCAAGATCTTTTTTGGTTTCATATGAACTTTTGAAGTATTTGTTCTAGTTCTGTGAAGTATGTCGTTGGTATTTTGATGGGGATTGCTTTGAATCTATAGATTGCTTTGGGTAATATGGACATTTTAATGATGTTAATTCTTCCAGTCCATGAACAAGGTATATGCTTCTACTTTTTTATATCTTCCTCTGTTTCTTTTTTTTCAATGACCTGTAGTTTTCTGTGAAGAGGTCCTTTCCTTCTTTGGTTAAGTTTATTCCTAGGTATCTTAATTTTTTTTGCTGCGATGGTAAATGGGATTGTTTTTAGTTTCTCTTTCTGTGACTTCATCATTGGTGTGTAAGAATGCTGTCGATTTCTTGACATTAATTTTGTATCCTGGTACTTTGCCAAATTCATTTATTAAGTCTAGGAGATTTTTGATGGAGTCTTTAGGGTTTTCTATATATAATATCATGTCATCTGCGAATAATGACAGTTTCACTTCCTTCTTTTCAACTTGGATCCCTTTTATTTTT